ATGATTTTCAGTATCTAATATACAGAAATATTTATAATATACTATAAAATCTTACCAAAAATAATGTATACAATATACTGATTTAACATATAAAATTTAACAAAAAATTATGTATACATTATACTGATTAGACATATAAATTCAGTATTTTTTTGCATATGAAAAAAGATGATTTTCAGTATCTAGTATACGGAAATATTTATGAATTTATTATACTGTTTTTTTATGTTTATTATACGTTTTTAAACATATTATTTCTATATACTTTCCTTATATATATTATTTATAGGGCTGTCCAATATATCCTATTTGTTGAACATGTCAGATATATCATATATGTCAGATATGTCAGAAATATCAGTTATATTAGATATGTCAGATATGTCAGTTATATTAGATATGTCAGATATGTCAAATATATCAAATATTTAAATTGTGTAATATTTGTTTAACATTTCTAACGTTACATGTGTAAATCATTTGCAGATCATCCAGTAGATCAATTTTGTAGATCAATTTTGTAAATCTTCTATTTTGTGAAATATGTCAATCATTTGTTATGCCACATTTTCTTGTTATAATCACCCTGTAACAATAGCCTTTATTTCATCTATTTTATGTTGAGTAATAACAGAAGCATGTAACTTGCTCATATTAAGAATCTTTTTATATTATTTTTAAAAATATAATTAAAAATCTAAATTAAAATAATTGTCAATAAAATTAAAAATAGAATTTTATACTTACATGTAATTGATTATGTCATTTATTATCCCATATATGACGTCTTTCAACTGATGTAGCATTGATACAAATTCCAAAAATACGTTAGGCAACATATTCAAGTTCTTTTGCTATTGGTAATACCCATGTCCAAAAACTTAAAGTATTTTCTTCAAATTGATTAATTGATCTTTCATCAAAAGAATTTTGATTTTTTCTAAAATTTTCATATTCACGTAATATTGATTTTAATTTTATTTGCGACTAAGCTTCATAATAATAATTAACTATTTGCTAAAATATACATGATTTAAATTTAAAATATTAATTTTAAATTTTATTATTTTGTATTTAGAATGTAAAAGTCAAGATAAAAGTAATAGTAGTTGTTCCCAATTTTGCCATCTTTTTTAAAACGATTAAGTATCTTTGTTTCAAATTCTAAATCATCATAATTTTTCTAAAATTTTACAAAAAATCCAAATCTATGTAACACATCATATAACCTTACTTTATCATATTGTAAAATATTTAAAATTTTACAATGATTTAAGTAATTTAAGTTCTAAAAGTAATTGCCATCAATTTTCATCAAGTAAAATAGATGCAATTTTAACAGAAAGATATAATGGATCATTAGGATGACGACGAGATGTTAATTATTCAAGAAGTTCAAATTTTGATCTTAAAGTCTTATATTATAAAAAAATTATTAAAAATAAAATAAAAAAGTATATAATACCTATAAAGCTGCTTTGATTTAATTAAAATATGAAAACATTCATAATGACTATTTCACTTTGTATTATTTCTAATAGCAATTTAAATAACATCCATATGCTTCTTTTTTGTAAAGTTTGAAGTTGACTAATAAAATATTTATTATTTGATGACTTAAAAAATAATGCAATTTTTATTGCTTTTATTGAAGCTTTAAATTTTTCAGATTTCTTAAAAATTTCACCAATAAAAAGATTTATTTAATATGCAAAACATGGAAGAAAAATAATATGTAATATTTGAGTCAAAGTCTACGTCAATTAAATAAATAAAAATTATTAATAAATAAAAAAATAATATTTTTAAAAATAAATAACAATATATAATATATATATCTTACAGCTGTATAATTTGATGCACTATCTGTTACAAGTGCAATAAGATTTACTTACATATCATTAATTTCTTTAAACATTATTTCTGTTTTATCGAAAACCTCTTTCCATTTTTCTGATTTCCCACTAATATCTATTGTTTTTCAAATTAAAACTTCTCCTTCTGATATAATAAAAACTGAACCAAGAATATTTTAATTTAAAACATTTGTCCAACCATCAAATATTAAAGTAACACCAATAATATTAACCTTTAATTTTTGTTTTATTTTATTTTAAAGTACTTTTGATTCTTCATTTAAAATTTGACCTTCTAAATAAAGCCTTGCATTTTGGTATTTTTAAAGCTGAATTTAAAAAATAAAAAAGATTTTAAATATCTTTATTTTCAACCTATTATAAAGAAAATCCTGCAGAAACAGTAGCTCAAATTTTTAATTTTTTAAAAATACTATTTTCATTCTTTGAAAGTGATCGAGATATAAGTGATTTAGAAATATAAGAATCAAGTGATCCAATTGATGTATTAGATTTAGTACCTTTGTAAATAAAAAATTTTTAATATTTAATATATAAATTTATATAAGTTCTTAAATAATTTAAATAAATATATACTTGCTCATGAAGTAAAACTATATGTTGAACTAGTAGATTCTCTACATAACCTTTTTTTTTGAAATAGAAAATGAGTTCATTTTCTACTTCTAATTCAGATTCAAAATATTCAATATATTATTGAGGATATTGATTTTTAAAGTTTTTACATTTTTTAAAATGGTTTCTAATATGATTACTCTTATTTGGCATTTTTTTAAGCAAAGCAACTTGATGACCTTCAATGTCTCTATATGCAATGCAAATACAAAAATTTCGCCATAAATCAGCTTTTTCTGTTATAATTTCAATAAAATATTTATAATTATATGGGAACGTTTCCAGTAAAATCAAGTTATGAGGCATAGTAAATCATATGATCCGTAATGTGATTTTACTGAAAACGCTCCCATATAACATATTTAAAACTTATAAAATCTTAATTAAAACTTATGACTTAAAAAATTTATCTTAAAAAAATTTAATTTTGACGGTCAATTGATTGCATTTTTTGCAATAATTGACGCCTCCGACGTTCGGAACGGTCAATTAATTGCAAAAAAAATTGGCAGTCATGTGACCTCTGACTTTTTGGCCATTGGTCTCCAATTGGATTTTGGCCGGCCGCAGATCTTGGCCGATTATTTTGGCCAATCGGCCAAATCGGCCAAAAAATTAGCCTTGGATGCCATCACTGCTGTAATGTCTCTCGTCTTTTTCTTGATAATCTTGAAAATGTTTAAACATGTTGATCTGTCTTCGAAAAATTTGTAGAATTGCTTTGAATATTAAATTATTATTTTTAAAACGCTGATAAAAAATAAATTTAAAACGAAACATTGATATGAAAAATTAACAAGAGTCATAATCCAAGCGAAACGAAATAATTCTTTAATACCATTCTAACCGAACTTGTTTTTAATTAAACTTAAAAGTAGATAATAATTATGAATATAATCATATAATATTAACTTTAACAACTTTAATTAATTTGATCAAATAACTAAAAAAAAAAATTCACGGGTTGAAAACTAGAAATTGAGGTCGTGATAAACTCGCGCGAAAAAACAACTGCGTAACAATAATTCTGTTGATTGATTTTTTGTAGTATCTTATACTATTGCTGTGATCAAGGAGTCGAAATAGTCTATCGATATATTTATACCCCCTTAAAACTTCCTTAGATGACGATTTATAATTTTCTTTACATCCTGATCAATTTTCTCGTTTCTTTATTTTATTTTAACATTAACCATGTCATCAATAAATATGGATACAAGTATGTATCGTAATATTTCTAGGAAATATAAAAATTTTCGATTTATTAACGACATTCTTTCATTTCAAAAATACAAGTAACCGATAAAAATTCTATTGCTGGTCCATCTCTTCCAACTACACCTTCATCAACTTCAATTACAACTCTAATTTTACCAAAAGATTTACAAAAAGTTTACGATGATTTGAATCCATCGGAACGTAGGCATTACGCTCGTCAAAACAGCGACGAGGATAGAATGGCTTTTCTTGAAGTGATACAAGCTGCGACAAAGAAAGCGAAAAAGGAAGAACGCAAAAAAGGAGTATGTCGTGTTTTGTTTTTGTTTATGATTTGTTTAGATTCACCTAGATTTTTCACTTAAATCATTTAAATAACTCTTTAGCCGCTTCGCGTCCTCTCCTTATTTAATAGGAATTTATCATTGAAATTTTTGCAAGTTCAGCCGTCCTATTCGTCATTATTAGTCTTATTGTGCTTAATGCAAGTTCCAATGCAAGTTCCAAGAATGAATTTTATGAATTATCTTCATACATTATTACATATTTAGTTCAATTTCTGGCGATTATATTGGGTTTGTATCGATATTTCAGTACCATCCCTTATTAGTTGTTTAGTTGCAGGTTTAATAACTTTGTTTAACATAGAATTAACCTCAGGAATCACTTTGGTTGGTCCGGAAATATTGTTTTCTGATATAATTTCATGAAAATTTTTTTTTTTGTACTTATTAACAAACAAAAATTAACAAAAAAAATGATAATATATTTGTAAATGAACGCAGACAAAATGAATTACGTAAATTTATTGGTTTTGGTCTCATTTTTTTCTTTCGCGATTAAATCAAATCTCTTTAACACCTTTTTTAATATCTTGTGCAAGTTCTTTAACTTCCTTTACAGGTCCGCTAGGATGCCTATCTAGAGGTTTAACGTTTGCTAATTCTTCATTTGCTTCTCGTTTTTCGGATTCTTGACAAATATTTTCTTTGGTATCATCCTATGATACATAAATTTTTGTGTCAAACATAATTTCAAACATGAGAAAATTAATTATTAATCCATTATTAATCCATTATTATACCTTTTTCATGTTCAATTTGTTAACTCCAGACTTGGCTTGATCTTGTAAATTTTTCATGGTTCCCTGTCCGGTTTCTTGAGCTTTCTTAAATACATCTTGACTTTGCCCTTTGAACTTTTCTCCTTTCTCTTGAGCACTTTTCATGGTTTCTTGACTTTTTTCTTTTATATCCTGTCCTTTCTCTTGAAAACTTTTCATTGTTTCTTGAGCGGCTGCACTTCCAGATTCTTTAAACCCTTCACCCTTCTTTTGAGCACTTTGTAATGTCTCTCGTCCTTTTTCTTGATAATCTTTAGCCGTATTTTGTAACATATCTTTAGTTGATTGTATGGCTTTCTTGGCGGTTTCCTTGGCATTTTCATAACTTTCCTTTGCTTTTTCTTGAAAGTTATCAACAGTTTCTTTTACACTACTGATCGTTTCTTTCGTTTCATTACTTGATTGATTATGTTCTCGTAATCCTTTAGCGGCATTTTCGGCTTGTACATCCGCAGCACCGGGTGATACAAAATGATTTAAGGCATCTTTAAATTTCCCTACCACAGTTTTAGGTGAATCTTTTTGCAAACTATCACTAAATGGTGCCTCCTTTGCTTTGTTAACCGTATGACCTTCCGTATGAGGTTTTTCTCTTGTTGGACCCGTTCCGAATGGATTTTCATCTTTTGGACCCATTGATGGATCTGGTGAAACGCGATGTTGTGAATGTTCTTGATATTGTGAAGACGTTGAATAAACATTATTCGTAACCGTCGTATTTAATGATCTCTTAATAAGGAGTGAATTAATGTATAGTCTTTTAGATGATGAAATGGACTGCACCGAGAATTTATTGATCAACATGCGAGATTGAGATATCATCGTGTGTGGAATAAAAATTGTAATTAATAAAAAAAGGTGGTTTTTTTTTCGAAAGGTTATTTTTTTATTATTATTATTATTATTATTATTTTCTCTTAACCTTTCATCCCTTATATTTAAACTTATCGTCGGATTTTTGCTCTATATATTTTTGGTTAGCGTTATGATCAATCATTATATCATTATCCGTAATTAACTTTACTGTTTTCATAGTTATGACATAAATATGTTGATTTTCATTAATCCATTAATCATTTGCTCGTCATTCATCCATTATTTTAGCGCCACAATTATTTTATTTACTATGTAATTTAATTTATATTTAGGAAAAATTTTTAAATTATATATATAATTTTTTTCAAATTGCTTTTTTTTTGTTTTTATATATTATTTTTTTTTTTTATGATTTTCTTAATAAAATAAAATACAATATCTGATAAAATATGCTTATATTTAATAAAAAGTTCTAAATGAAAATTATCTCGATCTATACTAAAGTTTTAATTACATTATGTATTTAATTTTAATTTATTAATTTCTTTCTTAAGGATTCCTTCAATGGTATCCCAATTATCCGTTGGTACTTTGATGATTTCTCTCTGGAAATGTTCTTCAATTGATTTTATAACTTCCCAACTGTTTGCATCATGAACAAAGTTAATGGACACACCCGTACGACCAAATCTTCCTGTACGTCCAATACGATGAAGATAAGTTTCAAAATCGGGTTTACCTCTTGAATCCGTTGGTAAATCATAATTAATCACTAAGTTGACCTGTAAGACATCAATCCCACGCGACAACACATTAGTGGTAATCAATACTTTGGCATCTCCCCTACGGAATCCATCCATTACATGATCACGTTCATCCGCTGAAAGACCTCCGTGAAGGTTAATAACTTTATGACCTTTCTCTGTCATGCGTCTGGCAATAATGTCCGCGGTATCACGTTTCTTTTAATTTGAATTTAATTTAATGTCACTTTTTTTTAAAAAAAAAAATATCCCACATAGATTTGGTTATAATCATATCGTACCTGCACAAAAATAATACTTTGACCAATTGTAAGCAAAGTGTACAGATCATCCAAAACCTGAAATTTATGCTGTTCGTTTTGGCAATCCATGTAAAATTGATTAATTGTTTTCACGGATAGTTCTTCAATCTTTAGACTAAATTGATTTGCATTTGGTGCAAATCTTTCGGCAAAAGATCGAACATCTTTTGAATAAGTTGCCGAGAAGAGCACAATTTGACAATCTTTGGGCATCATACTATTGAATAAAAATCAATCATGTTAGAACAAATTAATCATAAAATTCAAAATGAAAAACTCGAAAATTTTAAATACCAATGCTTTACTTTTTTATTTTTATACTTTGATCTCCTAAAGCTTGTTGATCCAGCATATTATCAGCTTCATCCAACACAAAGATTTTAACTGTATTCTTATTGATAATACGCTTCCTGAACAAATCATAGACGGTACCAGGTGTACCAACAACCAATTGAGCTTCAGCAAATTCTTCAATTCTACTTTTACCAGTAGTATGACTTTTGATATTGGATTCTCTAATTGCCTCTGCAGTCATTACTTTCGTATATTTTGCCATTTTAAGGACTTCCACCATGATCTGACGAGCCAATTCTCTTGATGGTGCTAAACAGAGTGCCTAAAATAAATGTGCAATTTGTATTATATTTTTTGAATTTTGAAAGATTAATACATTATCGTTACTTTTTTTTACCTGTAGCGATTTCAAATCATAATCTATTCGACTCAACATGGTTAATACGAATGCTGCTGTTTTACCCGTGCCGGACTGAGATTGGCCGATCATGTTTTGTGGGCTAATGATAAATAAAAAAAATTTTTTTTTATTTAATAAAATTATAAAGGAATTTTCAATAAACTAATGTGAAAAAAAAGAGGTTACATACGGAGTTTTGAGAAGCAACGGTAAAGCTTTTGCTTGGATTTTCGAAGGTTTCGAAAAACCCATGTCGTAGATACCCTTTAATAGATTTTCATTCCTGAATAATTCAAAAAATTTAGTCACCAATTATTGTGAATCAATAACTTTTCATCGTAAAAAATCATAATATTACAATTTTAAATCTTCAAAAGTTGATACAGAAAGTATAGGATCATCATCAACTCTGGTAACAACTACATCATGAGCTGATTCTTGTAAGGCATTATGTTTTGCTAAATGGATAATAAAACGACGTAAAAGTTAAAAATCTAGAAAAATATTTCTATAAACTTCAGTGAATCATGATCACTTACGTTCTTGAGTTGCTAGGGTTGAAATTTGATCCGCGAGACTATTAACAACATCTGTTGCTGTAGTAACATGAAGTAAAACATAAAAATACGTTACAAGAAAAATATTATCACCACAATAAAAGTTATTTATCGAGTAAAAAGGAGCACATAAGTTAGTTCTGACTTGAATAGTTTAAAGATCTATGAATCTGTATTTAAAAATTTAAATTTACCTCCGTTGTCCATCTTTGGTTATCCTTGTTAAAGAAGAAAAAAATTTCCTTTACTTAGATCTATTATTCGTGGATAAGATTAAAAATTTTTTTTTTAATTCTGGTGATTTGCGATCAATCAACGTTATACCTTTTCAGGAAACAATAGTAACCATGAAAACAGTCATGTGACTTCTAATAGAAAATATCTGATCTAAAACAAAATTCCTCCTTCACTTTCTTTTCGAAATTGATAGCATCAAATGATAAATACTAATTCGAATACTTCTCGACAATTTATTTACGGCTTGTTACTTGGTGTAATACTTACTTTATCTACTAATTCGTTTCGGAATTGGTTGAAGCGAAAAAACGGAGACGGAAATAAACGTGAATTAAATACACCTCAACAACCAATTGATGTAATAAGTGAAGATATCGTCGATGGTATAGAAGGATTAATAGGGAACACACCATTAATGAGAATCAAAAGTTTAAGTGATGCTACCGGATGTGAGATTTTGGTAAGTAATGTTTTAAAAGGTATTGACAATTTGATGTATCATACTAATTAGTATAACCAATTCATTTTTAACGTAGGGCAAAGCCGAAGTAAGTGGTTTTAATCATTATTTGATGTTTGTTCAAATTTACAAAACAAATATTATAGGATGTTCTTCAAAAGTTTTATAGACAAAATTTTACAATTTGACAAGTTTCTTAATCCAGGTGGTAGTCCAAAAGATCGAGTCGCTTTAAACATGATAAAAGAGGCGGAAAGGAAAAAACTTGTAAAACCAAATAAAGGATGCACCATATTTGAAGGCACTTCCGGTTCAACAGGAATATCAATAGCAATGATAGCAAGAGCAAAAGGATATAATGCATGGATTATTATGCCCGATGACCAAGCAAAAGAAAAGTATCAAATATTGGAAAAGTTAGGAGCTACAGTTGAAAAGGTCAAACCTGCAAGTATTGTAGATAAAAATCAATTCGTTAATTTAGCCAAGCGCCGAGCTGAAGAATTTGGAAATAATAAGTTAATTAATGAAGGAGGAAGCAATGAAGCTACTGGATTTTTTACCGATCAATTTGAAAATTTATCTAATTATGAAGCACATTATCAAGGAACAGGACCAGAATTATTTAGGCAGACGAATGGAAAAATCGATGCCATAGTTTCCGGAGCTGGCAAGGACTTTTTTTTTTAAAAAAAAAACTTATTTTGTTGTATTGATCTTTTATTTTTAATTTAATTCATTCAATTTAGGTACTGGTGGGACCATTGCGGGAATTGCTCGTTATCTTAAACCGCTCATACCTAATCTCAAAGTGTTTCTTGTTGATCCTCCCGGTTCTGGGTTATACCACAAAGTGAAACATAATATAATGTATTCACCTTGTGAAGCCGAAGGAACTAGAAAGAGGCATCAAGTTGATACTGTCGTAGAAGGTGTTGGTTTAAATCGTATAACAAAGAATTTTAATATGTCAAATGGAATGATCGACGATGCGATTCGTGTTACAGATGAGGAGGCGGTGTCTATGGCAATGTATTTAGTTAAAGAAGAAGGTTGGTTTATATAATATTTTTAAAAAAGCATTTTGGCTCTAGGTTTTTTGGATAAAAAATTTCATTTATATATTATAGGTCTTTTTGTTGGTAGTTCATCGGCTATTAATTGTGTTGGATGTGTAAGAGTGGCTAGGCAATTAGGACCCGGACATCGTATTGTGACTATTTTATGTGATTCTGGGCAAAGGGTAAAGTGTTATTTTGTTGTATTCCACTTTCAATTCACTTATAAGTTCATATACATACTGACAAAAAAAAACATTCCGCTATTAAAAATTAGCATTTGACAAAATTTTGGTAGGTTTAATATTTAATTGCTTTTGATGGGAAAAACTTTTTTAATATTTATATAAATTTTTGATTTTTACATTTATTAAGGAATGATGAATATTTAAAACAAAATAATATACATCCAAAATGTGGAGATGGCTTAAGTTTTATAAAATAATAAAAAATTAAAGGATTCATTTAACTAGTTTCTCATAAACTTGATAATTGCAAATGCTCAAAGAAAAAAATTTTATATAAATAATCAATACATTATTAACTTATTATCCTTGATCTATTTTAAACACATAATCCCCAAACGTTAACAATAACGTGCATACTATTGGTATCATATCTATAAGTAGTACTTCCTAAGAATCCCATTAAAAAAAATTGCATGTTATTTCAAAATTGTCTTTTTATTCATAAATTCAAAGAAATTAATTTATTTACCATCATGGTTGCTGTCCCAATAACAAGTTGTAGTAGCGTGTATACCTGCACCATTTCTTTCAAAAATTGTACAAGTAACTAAAGTAAAAATATTTTATATCGTTAATATCTTTTTTATAAAATCAAATAAATGATTTCAATTTACCAATGTATTTAAAAGATTTATGTAAAGATGCTAATCTTTTAACAGTTGTATCAACTATTGTAGCATTCCAATTCGATATACGACTATGAAGATAAGCAGAATCTTTTAAAATGCTTTCTTCTACCACTTCTTTGATAATTCCTTTAATTTCTTCTTCATTAAAAGTTTTCTTTGGGTCTTTAACCTTAAAATAATACGAATGATTTTATTGAATTAGAAAAGAAGACACGTAAGATATAAATAACCATACTTCATCGGCTTTAGGATAATCGTCCATCATCATTGTTAAATTTGGTCTCGGAAGAATAAAATATATATATATATAAAAAAGAGGAAAAGGAGAGTTTAAAAAATTAACTCATCATGTCCAGTTTTTATATGAAATTAAATTCACATGGTATCGCAGTTAATTAGCATTTTCCATCGCAAACGTTCGCAGGGGTTAGGTGCCGGCTCAAATTTTACTGTGGAAGACCATGTGAATTACATGTGTTACATCATTCAAGCATAAATAGAATTTGAAATATTAAATAATAACTTAAAATAATCAAATTATAAATTAATTTTCAGTTTTGAATTAAGAATTTTGAAATTTTTTTAAATTTTAATTTTTTATTAATATAGATTTTAATAGGCATTGATAATTCTACATGTTTATTTTTAACAATAGAGTTTAGATAATTTTCAAAAATTTATTCTAAAAAGTTTATAAAGGATTATATAACTTAATAGTTTTTTGATTAGTTTTAATAACTAGTTTATAACAAAGCATCTAATTAATTAGTTTCTTAAAAATTATATTATTATAAATAATATTAAATTAGTAAAGAACAGTAATTTAATATATCACACAATGTAGATTATTTTAATAAAATGATAATAATAGGTAATATAAAAAATAAATATATATATAAGAAAAATGCAAAATGTGCTAAACAATTTTCATACTTTTGTGTAAACTCCTCAAAATCTGATATACTACTAGTCAAAATCATTTCTTTTACAGTTAATTCCATAATTTATAGACAGACCACTAATAAATTGCAACTGAATGTGACTGAAAATATTTTATAATACAATTATTATAAAATATTGTGACTGAATGTGACTAAAAAATTATTAGTAGTTTATGAATTATGAAATTAGCTATAACATTAAGATTTTTTGGCAAACTTTCAGCTGATTCAATCATAATTTAGTAAATATTTAATTTAAATTGCAAAAATTAATAGTGATTTATTACACTACTAAGAATACTTCTTCAAAATTTTATGATTAGTTTTGGCAAAATTTTAGCATTTTAGTATTTTACTAAGTAAAAAAACCCTATATTTTTTCCAGTAATCTTATACATTATACATAATTTAGTATTATTTCAATATTATGCCTTTTTAGCAAAATACAATAAAAATTTAACTTGATTTACAAAAATCAATAGTAAATTATTACATTATATATAATTTAACAATTTTAATACTAAAACTTTTTGACAAACATTTAGTTAATTTAGTTATATAATTTAGTAAAAATTCAGCTAAATTGATAGTTATTTGTTAAACTATATATAATTTAGCATTATTTTAATACTAAAATCTTTTAGTTATAATATTTAGTAAAATTTCGGTTAGATTTAATTTAACATAAAAGTTACAACAAATTATTTGTATTTTACTAATCAAAATCAATTAAACTAATTTTTATAAAAATTATAATAACATTTTAATTAAATAGAATAATCATTCTAAAAAAATGATAAAAATTATTTTTAAAAAAATAATACAATTTGCTCAAAAAAAGAATATAAATTATCATCAAAATTATCCTAAAGAGATAATAGAAATCATTTCAAAAAATTAAATTTTTTTATATTCTTTCATTATTCTATTAAACTATTATATAGTTAACCATCTTTATAGTACCCCCCACATATAGTCATTTCTTCGTATTTAGTCACATAGTAGTTGGTCCTGATTTTTTAAATATAAAATACTTTTTTATAATCACAATAATAAGTATAATCATTATTACATAAATTAATAGAATGATGTCATTAGTTATTATAAATAAAATTTCCTCTATATATAATCACTTTAAATCACATGAATCATATATATTTTATCATGAAGCAATAATAATTTATGCATTAACCATTCCTTTTTTAATCTTATACTTCAAAATTTTTCTTTTTAAAGAAATTTCATGCTTCAAAATTTTTCATTTTGGAGAAATGACATGCTTCAAATCTTTCTTTTTACAAAAGTTTTTCATTAAAATGAATCTTATACTCTCCTTTTCTTTATAAAGCTCATTTACAAAAATATAAAGAATAATGCTACCTACACATTCATAAAAAATAAAAAGAAAACGAATTGCTATAAATATTGATATAAAAGAAAATATATAAGTATATGTTAGCAAATAAAGATATAAAACATGATAACGTTACTTTATTCTTTAATATAAAATATAAATTAGATGTTGATAGATTAACTATTACAAAATATGGTAAAGTCGTAAAAAATAGTTAACAGTTCTTTCAAATTTAACCACTTTTCATTGTCATTCTGTTCAGTTTTCAAAACTTGATAGGCTTTGCAAATTTCGACATCACAAGCAGTAGCAGCTGGACTTCTTTTAATTAATGTAATATTACAACAAAAGGACTAAAATTAGCGCAAATGTTAAATATTAATAAAGATTAGTTAAACTTTACTAATAAATAGGTGTATAGGTTTAAAAAATGCAATAGTCTTCAAAAGATTAGGTTTTCAGGAGAAGTTAATAGTGCTTCACTTGCTACTCTTCCAGAAGAACGATTAAAATTGCGTAATCTTTTAGTTGCATATGATGAAGAGGATATTTATAATGCTGACGAAATTGGGGGTTTTTTAAATAGAACCTAATTAAACATTTAACACAGATGCAGTTATAGGTTGTAAAAAAGTAGAATAAGTTTATATTAATACTATATAAGAAAATTTGAGATAAATTATTGTTTATAAAAATGAAATAAGATTTTTTACTATTTTGATTTTTTTTACTGATTTTTTTAATTTAATAGAATAAAAGCTGGGTTTCTATTCTATTTTGTACTAATGCTATGGGATCTCATAAATTTAGTTCTTTTGTAATTGGAAAATTATTCAATCTACAATGCTTCAAAAATTTCAATAGGTCAACCCTACTCATAACCTATCATACTAATTCTAAAGCCTGAATGAGATCAGATATATTTGTTAATTGGCTTAATCAGCTTAATAATTATTTTTACATAATAGACAGAAAAATATTGCTTCTTATTAATAATGTGAGTTCTCATTTTAATCTAAAGGTTTTTAAAGAAACTAATCCTAATTTAAACAAGGATAATTTTAATAATGAAGAAAATAATAAGGAAGAAATAGTGATAGAATTATCCTGTTCTGCTCAAAATAGAAAAAAAGTTAACAAAAAGTTAATAAAAAAAAAAACCTGACATCAAGCTTTTTAATATTGAGCTTATTTATTTACCTCCAAATACCACTACTCACCTTCAACCAATGGATGCAAGAATTATCAATAGCTTAAAAACTAATTATAAAAAAGAATATTGTAAACAATAAATTTGCAAATTTAATGCTAAAGTAGATTATATAAAGTGGGTTTTAATAGTTATTATTTCATTTATATTTGAAATACAATCTGAAAAAGAGCATTGAAAATAAAATACAATAAATTACTAATATTAATCATTATTTATTTAGAAATAAGTTAAATCTTAAGAAAGTATT